CCTAGCCCAGGTGGTGTTGACAAAGAGAGCACCCGGAGGCCCCGCCCCGCCTGGCGCGTCCGCGCCGGCCGCTTTAACCAGCCGCTCTCGCCGCCGCTCGGGAGTCCCGCAACGTAGCTGTGCCGGAGCACTTTGCCCTGCGCCACCCCCGGCAGCCCGACCACGCGTTCTCGCACGCTCGCGCCTTTCCATTGAGGCGGCGGACGCCGGACCATTGGGGGGCAGCTTGCCATTTCCTTTTTTTATTAAAATTATTTTTTCTGCTTATTGTTGGGGATTTTTTGTTTTGTTTTCGATTTTTTTCAATTTTTTTTTTTTTCCGCTGAGAACAACCTACTGAAGGCGTTTGTGTGGCATTCCGGGATTCAGGAGCGGAGACCACTGAGGTAAAAGGGCGCTGGGGTGTCTCAAAGGGAGCCAGGCCCGGGCGGGAGTGGGGGAGGGGCGCCCGGGAGGGGCCGCGGCGGGAAGGCAGCTGCGGGGGTCGTTTCTGCCCCCCCCGCCCCCCATGGGCGGGCGATTACTGTCGGCGGGGCCGGCCTTAGACCCCGGCCCACCGGGGGGGTTCGCCGCCCACCTTCGCCTGGGGAAGGGTGTGCGGCGCGGGGGCCGCCTGCCCGCCCGGAGCGGAACCGCATTCTCCCGTTAGGGGGAGGGGTGCCAGCCAGGCCCGCGTCTCTGTTGCGGCAAGTCTTGTGACTGATTTGCATCCATAAAAATAATTAAATCCAGGGTGTCTGGAATTTGGGGGCGCGGAGGTGGGTCTAGGCTTTTAGTAGCGTGGCAGAGGCCACGATTGGGGAAGACGGGCCGAGGACGTTTGACAATCGGCGATCGATATTGCATCAGTTTTCGTTCCCGGTATAGGAGTGGCCGGCGGGGCGAAGCGCTCGCCAGCCAAATGCCAGCGGACTTGAGTGCTCCAGGGCACGAGCGTGCGCGTGTAAACAAACCCGCAGCGCTCGTGGAAACGGGTGTTACCGTCCCCGGCCCGCCCGCCGCGGACTCCGTCAGCCTTTCCGCCCCTCGAGTGGGCTAAGCGCCGCAGGGGCATTCCCCCCTCGGGGGGCTCCGGGCGAGAGGGACGGGTTACTCGGCCGCGCTGTTGAAATGCTAGGAACGGGGAGCTGGCTGCGCGCCTGGGCGGCGTGCACCCCTAGCCAGTGCCTGGGTGGGCCGTGTGCCCTGGTGCCCGGGCGCGACCGGCGGCTGCGGGGTAAAGCAGCAGACCTCCCCGCACCCCTCCCGATCTCGGAGCGGGGGGGCCACTAAAATCCGCTGGGAGGCCTCGGGGTTCGAAGGGCCCGGGACCTCGGCCCGCGGCGGCCCCATCTTTGTTCTCGGCGGCTTCGCCGTCTGTACTTTTCCAAAGCCCCTCGGCGCGCCCGGGCCCCTCGAGCTGGTACTTTTCCACTCGCCTCGGATGAATCAGCCGCCTGCGCCGCCCGCCGGCGTCACGTGACGAGCGGGCGCTGCGGGTCTGACGCGCCGCCTCTCCCCTCTTCGCAGGCAGCTCGCCGGCCGGGCCCCGCAACAGACAAAAGGAGTCCAGTGTTCCTCGAAGCCTCTGAGTCCTCCCGGTGCCCAGCATGAAGAAAGCCGAAGTGGGAAGGTTCAACATTTCCCCGGATGAGGACAGCAGCAGCTACAGTTCCAACAGTGACTTCAACTACTCCTACCCCACCAAGCAAGCTGCTCTGAAAAGGTGGGACGAGTGTCCTTTGTAAAATGCGGCTTGTGCGAGTGCGGGTTTCTTCGGAGACTCTGCTTCTGTTTCTTTAATTTACTGTAGCGTTTGGAGAGGGATGTCTGAAAGCGTATCCGGTTGTCTTATTGCAATGACAGTATCTGGCGTGAAAGTCGACTCCTACTTAAAACTTACGTATTTAAATAAAGGTGTGTGATAACCGAAGGGCTGTTTTGTGTTAAAGCATTCCAGGGTATATTTTGATCCAACCTAAGATTTCCCTTTTTCTTTTTTCCTTTCGCAGCCATTATGTAGATGTAGATCCTGAAAACCAGAACTTTTTACTTGAATCGAATTTGGGGAAAAAGAAGTATGAAACAGACTTCGTAAGTTAAAAATAATAATAACTTGTGTGTCTGTGGCTTTATGGAGTTAAAGAATAGTTTTACTTTTAGATTTCAAATCTAACTTGCCCAAAGCTGGTTTTCTCCATTTAATTATTGTTATATGTTTGGTTATCGTTTTCCCTCTATGTAGCATCCAGGTACTACTTCCTTTGGAATGTCAGTATTTAATCTGAGCAATGCGATTGTGGGCAGTGGAATCCTTGGGCTTTCTTATGCCATGGCTAATACTGGAATTGCTCTTTTTATGTAAGTATGTGTAAGTAGTGAGTCTGCCATGCAGGGCAGTTCATATGATGATAGAACGTGTTTTGGCTCCAGAAACTGACTTGAAAATCATTCGCTTAAAATTTTAAATATGAGAAATCAAAAAATATTTTATTCTGGTATATAATCGCATATCAAGAAAGCCAATTAGGAAAAAATAGGACAATTAAAACTGATAATTAAGACAGAAGTCTTTAAGTCAATAGAAATAGCTAAGACATTTTTCACAGGGGTGAATATTTCAAAGGAACTATTGATAAATCCAGGGTAGTTAGAAATTTTGTTCTGGCAAACTCTGAAGCAAAAAAAAGTAAAGCATAGTACTTCAATCAGTTTGGTAAATTGACATGATCTCCCCGAGGACCTGTAGCCCCTGCGTGCATGACAAAAACAATTACTTTTTAAAAAATATATAAGATGTGGTAGTATTTGCCTAACCTGAAATATGTTTGTTTTAAGAAAACTGAGTCATAAAGCAGCTGAAAAGCAACCCATATGTGTTTTATGGCTTGTTTATATTTATTCCAGATCTGTGTGATTGCCATAGCAAAAAATTAATATATTTTAATTAGTATCTGCTTTTAAATGTTTTTTTCTTAATTGTCAAGTTAGAATTGGCTACTTCTGTGCTTTCCAGCATGTATACCTGGAATAGAATTTTGGAGCTAAGAAAACTTTAGAGAAAGTGGTTAACCATTGTGGGGTTACTGACCCTTGGAGAATATAGTAGAAAGTATGGGCCTTATTTCCAAAACGACAATAAAGTTGAGCATACATTTTCAATGATGTTTATGTCGTAGGTATTAAGTTTAAGTACCTTTGGGCTTCTGGCTAAGTCAGTTTCTGTGGAAGATGTATGATCGATTTTGTTGTACAGATGAAGAAAGATGGAATTGTCCCTTTGTGACACGTACACTTTTTGTTAGCTGACTGGTGCCTTCTCCAGCAGAATAGAAATTCATGAAAAGAAAAGCAGACCTTTGCAATGTTCTGCTTTTTGGTGAAGTTCCACGCTGAAATTAAGCACAGTTTGAGCTTTGAAAGCCAGGATTCAGTCAGCTTGCTTCATTAACCATGAGGCTTTTGAGACCTCTTGCTAAAGTGAAGGGCCAGGAATTTACATAGAAAGGACCCTAGACTTTCAGAGTTTTTAGTGGGAAAATTGAATGGCATCCTTGTTAAGTATTTGAAAGCCTTCCTAACTCTTACTATAAAAACTGGAGGTAGTTTTTAAGTGGGATTCTAGTGCAGTATTTACCTCGCATGTCTGTTTCATAAGTGAAACCACAATTCTGATATATTAGCCTTGTACTTTGGAAATTATACTTTAATAGGGTCTCTCTGTTTGGTGATTATGGTTAAATAGTATCTGGAGTGCTAAAGTGAGTTTCGAATCTGTCAGTGTTTTACTCTGCAGCTAACCTTATCAAGTAGACTCAATCTTGAGGTTGAAAGAGAGCTCAAAGGTTCTGAAGTCCATCCCTCATTATCATTTCAGTGTAAGAGAAAAGAAGACTGAATTTGTCAGCACACTTTGAAAATTGTTTTTGATTAAACCAATACCTTTGTCTAGTTAGAGGTGAGGCTGATGATGTTATTTCCCACCTCAGATTAGACCCCATAAAACTTTTGGCATTAGAAGAGCAGTTTGACGTCACCACCTATCTTTAACTAACAGACGTCAGTTTCTTTACCAGACCTTATATGGTACTGTATTCCATTTGCTCATACAGAATAAAAAAAAAAACAAAAAAAAAAAACGTGAGTGTCTTCATTTGCAGAGTTTCCTGTGAGCTTCCCTGATTTCCATATGTTGCTCCTTTTACTAAGAAGAAATTTATATTTTTCTTGGCTTGCCCTGGGGGAAGCTGAAATGAGAGAGAGCCTGTGCCCTAAAGGAAAACATTCAGGAACCTTAGTCCCTCTCTGTTCTTTTTTTTTCCCACCCTGTTCCAGAGAGGATATAGCCTAGACAGTTGGACTAATAAGCCTACTTGTTCTATCTAGCACAGGCATTGTTTAACTTTGTGATAGTGCTGGGCCTGTATTCCATACCATGGGATGCAATATATATTGTCACATTGGTTACTTCTCTGATTTGTGCTATCTCAGTTGGATTTCAAAAGTACCTTGTAGGCTGGGTTTCCTGGCAGGCATTACCACCATTTTACAGGTAAAATGAACTGTTAAAGTACAGATAAGTGGCAAGTATGCAGCTAATTATTATGGTGCCAGAATCAAATTATAGGTCCATAACTCCACCACTTTAAAGTTTGGCTTTCCAGTGTCTCCCTACATGTTTTGTTCAGTGTGTAAACCCCTGCTCTTACCAGTACTGTAGAACCTATTCTATTACCTGAGATATGATGCATGTTTTTAGGGCCAGGTAAGAGAATATGTTGACACTCTAGCTTAGGACAGTGTCATTCTCGAGGGCATTCTATCTAGCACAAGAAATGTTAGGACAAGTTGCATATTTAATGTTCAAATAACAACCCAAAAGAATTGTCTTTAAATAAAGCTGTGCTTGTTTATAACCCTGCACCTTTTCTCTCTCTCATCAGAATTCTCTTGACATTTGTGTCAATATTTTCCCTGTATTCTGTTCATCTCCTTTTGAAGACTGCCAATGAAGGAGGTATGGTAGCATTCTTGGTATTTCTAAAACAATTATGCCTGTCATGATTATGTTTCCCATATAAAATACTTGCTTCATGCTTCTGTGTTCTTCAAATTATAGGGTCTTTATTATACGAACAATTGGGACAAAAAGCATTTGGATTGGTTGGAAAGCTTGCAGCCTCTGGATCAATTACAATGCAGAACATTGGAGGTAAGAATTTTTTAAAAGGTGATTTGGTAGACTTTTTGCTTTGTGTAGCAGAGTGGTGACACGTTACTTTTGGTGTCACGTGTCACATTTTGCACTTGTAATGGTATAATTTTTTTCCCTCCAGCTATGTCAAGCTACCTCTTCATAGTGAAATATGAGTTACCTTTGGTGATCAAGGCATTACTGAACATTGAAGATACAACTGGGTAGGTGCTAAGTAAGGTTGCTCATAAGAAACAATTCTAATCTAAAATGGTTAGAGACATTTTATCAAAGTTGGATACAAAACGATTATCCATAAATTACTGTAAATGTTATTGATGAAACAGAACTTTTGAGAATGAAAGGCCAAAGGTCTACACCATAGCTAGTCCTATAACTCTGGATAATTCATTTCTAATCTACATGTAAAAACAGATTTTCTAAACTTTTCTCTATATTTACTCTTTTTAAGAAATTATAGCTGAATAACACATACCTTAGCCTACATTAGGACTGCCGCTTTGAATTACATTAAAAACCAATTCCTGTCTGCTTTTCACAAATTAAAAGTGTTTAAAACTTAATCTATTTAAAATGCGTATTACCAGAAAATGTATGACCATTTTGTGGAATTTTTATTCTACTAGCAAAGTTACTCATGCCAGGGGACTAACAGATTTTTATCTAAAGTAAACATTGGGGAAGATAATTTACTTCCCCACTTACTGGCAGCCCTTTATCTCAAAAAACAGAGGTGTTGTGGTTATCTCCATGCTTTAGAAATTTATTTTAGTAATCTGATTTTTGTTTTTTAAATATATCTATATTGATTTCAGAGAGAGGAAGGGAGAGAGAGATAGAAACATCAATGATGAGAGAGTCGCCATTGATCGCCTGCCTCCTACACGCCCCCAACTGGGGAACGAGCCTGCAGCTCAGGCATGTGCCCTGACCTGCGAATCGAACCTCCATCTCCTGGATCCTAGGTCAATGCCCAACCACTGAGCCACGCCTGGCCGGACAGTAATCTAATCTTTAGATACTAGTTTTCTGTTGGGCCTTTGTTGCTGAAGTGAGTGGAGTAGAATTCACCAGGCAATTAGAATTTAAAATAGTGATTTAAAAGAGAGGGTATAGTTAATTACCTAAAAAGGAAAAATATTGCTAGAACTTTTAGGACTTATGGGTAATATTTTCTCTTCAGAAGGGATTTTTGACTATTTTGGAGTTAAGGTGGGTCAAGGTATTAAAGCATACTCTTGACATCCTGGAATAAGTCCTGGTTTGGGGATTGGGTTTTATTGTTTTGCTTTTGCCTATGTATCTTATCTAAATATGAAAAAATTTCCTTGTTGAAGTATTTCATATGTACATTTGCTAACAAATTTCTGAAAGAAGCTTGTTTTAAAATTTTCTTGTTTCTAGCATTAAAAATTGCAAGCCAAAGCTATGACAAAGTTGGTGTGCAATTTTTCTGAAAATGTTCAAAGATAAGATTACTGACTTAACAGTACCTCTTTGTTCTCTATATTAGTAGCAAGTATTTAAGAAGTATTTCATGTTATGAATCAGCTGGCAGCCTTCCCAGAGCAAACAGTGGGACAAAAGTTACACTGTTTCATACCCCATTTCTAACCTGAGTGAATATTCATCCAGCATACAAAATTTGAGATTTATTCCTGTTTTTAGACTTTTTGAATAAGTGATACTTCCAAACCTATCTTTTTTGTGTGTGTTTTTATAGTATTTGTATAAAGTGAGTTCTGAAAGAAGATGTATATATTCTTCTGAGAATATTGTGACTGGTTTGACCTTGTGTTTCTTTTCTTTAATTCAGACTGTGGTATCTGAACGGCGACTATTTGGTCCTGCTGGTGTCATTGGTGCTCATTCTTCCTTTGTCACTGCTGAGAAATTTAGGTGAGCAAACCCATCTCTAGACTTGAAATGATCCTATCACCAGCTAACTGGCTTTCTCTTAATAGACATTGAGCTAAAAAGCTCTAAACACATATCTTTGGGAGTTGCAGCATACTAACCTCCATAGGTCTTTCAAAATCCTAGCACATTCACTAGCAAGGTACCAAAATATGTTGCTCACATTTTATAGTTTATTATACTTTGTAAATAATAATACAAGATGGATGAAAGTTTTTATTATTTTAGTAACTAGTAACTATTTTTAAGTAATTCTATAGCTTAGTATATAAGAATTAAAAACAATATTGGAACCATACAAGTCTTTCAAGCAGAATTGAGTTATTTACTAGGGAAAAATATATTTGCTCTAAACCTATTTCATTAAATTAACATTCCCCCCCCCTCCCTCCCCCAGGATATTTGGGATATACCAGTGGCTTTTCCTTGTTATGTATGCTGTTCTTTCTGATTGTGGTAGGTATAACTTCTTTAAAGCTAGAAATTTTTTGTTTTTATAAGCCCTGTCACATTATTCAGTTTAACACATGAAAAATAATATATTTTCAGGTGATTTGCAAGAAATTTGAGATTGCTTGTCCTTTTGAAGATTATTCATTGATTAGTGAGGCAGTGAATATGACCTTCATACAGCCAACAGCTTTAGTACCTCATATGGCATTTAACATGACTGATGATTCTTGCAGACCACATTATTTTACCTTCAACTCACAGGTAACTAAATATAATCTTTATTTTCTGAAAGGAAGATTTTAGGGGGGAAAAAGAGGGAAACTACTGGAAATTTTAACATAATTCCCAAGGTAAAGGGAGGAGGGGTGAGAACTGCTCTTTAGAAAACATGATTAGCTTATTATTGAGGGCTGAGAAGAAAAAACACTGGTTTATGTCTTAAAATAGAATTTTAAAATGCCTGGCCTGTGTGTCTCAGTGGTTGAGCATCAACCTATTAATCTGGAGATCCACGGTTCCATTCCGGTCACGGCACATGCCCTGGTTTTGGGCTCAATCTCCAGTAGGGGGCGTGCAGGAGGCAGCTGATCGATGATTTTCTCTCATCACTGATGTTTCTATCTCTCCCTCTCCCTTCCTTTCTCTGAAATCAATAAAAATATTTTTTTTAAATAGATTTTAAACTGAAATAATCATATGATAATGGACACATTCAGAAGTTAGGATACTGATCACATATAGTGAACAAATTAGAAGATTAGAATCTAATTATGTAAGGAAAATTAATTATTTTAGCTTTTGATTATAAGATTAGTTGATATAAAATATAAGTTGCAGAACTGTGGTAACACAAGTTTGTTACATTAGGATATTGAGTATATTTTTATATCTTTGCAGACCGTCTATGCTGTGCCAATTCTGACCTTTTCATTTGTCTGTCATCCTGCTATTCTTCCCATTTATGAAGAGCTGAAAGAGTGAGTTCTGTACCTATTTTCATATAGATTTATTGGAAAAATATGATTTGATTACTGCTGTAACTACTGCTAATATATATTTTTGTATTTTTCTTTAAATTTACATAGCCGCAGCCGTAGGAGAATGATGAATGTATCCAAGATTTCATTTTTTGCTATGTTTCTCATGTACCTGCTTGCTGCCCTCTTCGGATACTTGACATTTTATGGTAAATAATGTCTGGTTTACCAAAAAAAAAAAATTACATTGTGAAATGAAATTGATACTTTGATATGTATAATTCTAATTACTTAAAAATTCAGTCTGTTTTAGTATATTTCATTAGTGATGAGAAATAGAATTTAGAGCTTAGACTTTCCTATAGTATATTTAATCAGTAATTTCTACAATCCAGGTTTAAAAGTATATCATTTGTCATCTGATGCCATTTTTATATGATGTACTTACATCTAAGTTCATCCTACCTATCTCCTCCCATCACTTTCAAATTATACAAGACACACAAACTGTAAGCCAAACCATGGGATTTAGCTGTTTAGCTCCTGTTGTTTTTAATGGGGGTCATGGGGCTAAATCTCTACTTGGTATTTAGAAATATTTTCCTTCAATGTTATTTTAATTGCATTAACCCTAATTCCAAATTAATCTTATTAGCCTCTTAGTTGGTAGTCATTTTGTGAGTAGCTAATAACTTCGGTGCAAATTTTGCCACAAGTTAGACTTTCTACCTATCTTCAGAGAAAATAGCACTCTTAAAAGTTTGTTTTTTCTTTCTCCACAGAAAACGTTGAGTCAGAATTGCTTCACACCTACTCTAATGTCATGGGAGCTGATATCCTCCTTCTCATTGTCCGTTTGGCTGTGTTAGTGGCCGTCACCCTGACAGTTCCAGTCGTTATTTTCCCAGTAAGTAATCACTTGCTCTCTTTTCAGTAGGAATGAGTTTAAAGGTGAAGATTTGTGAGATTTTTATCTTCTGGGAGAAGGGAAACACCACTAAAGCATTACTGAGTTGATGGGTTTTTTGAAGGGGCTTTTTAAAATACTTTGTAAATTTTCAAAACATTTTAGGGCATGTTTTCCATAATTGTAGATATTAAGTGATCTTTCAGGATTCAAATGTTTAGAAAACAGCAGAAGAGGTGGCACAATTTTATCATTTAAATAGCTGCTTGCTTTTAGATAGATTTTCTATTTGGGTTTTTTATTCATTAAAGCTGGAACTTTAACTTGTTTATCTGTTTGTTTATTTTTGCAGATCCGGGGTTCCATAACTCACTTATTTTGCTCAACAAAAGATTTCAGCTGGTGGCGTCATAGTCTCATTACAATATCCATCTTGGCATTTACCAATTTGCTTGTCATTTTTGTCCCGACTATTAGAGATATCTTTGGTTTCATTGGTAAGTTTTAGAAAGTATCAAGGTTGACTTAAATATCAGGAATTTTAAGGTTAAAAAATGGATGACAAGTGATTTATTGAATTCTCAAGAAATGGTAAATATTCTTTTCCAGGTGCATCTGCAGCTGCTATGTTGATTTTTATTCTTCCATCTGCCTTCTATATCAAGTTAGTTAAGAAAGAAACTATGAAATCTGTACAAAAGATTGGGGTGAGTAAGATTATGACTATAGAAACAGTAATCTTTCAATATCAGAAATTCCTCAACTGATTTTAATTTTAGTCTCTTAGCTATCATTTGTTATAGTTTCACTTTTAAGTTTCTAGTAAATGTTTCTATAACAGTGTGCTTCACAAATGAAAGATTGGGGGCAAGGAGGTGGAAGAGTTTGCCTTCTAATACATGCTTAAGTTAATTGCAAGAAAGTTATTAGATATTATAGAGATAGAGTATAAAGTGTAAAGATACTTTTCTTAGCTTTAAGTATTTGTTGAACCAGTATTTGGGGGGCTGCCTGTTGTATGACAGGCACTTAAATGGGCCTTGAGTATATAAAAGAGAAAAAGATGGCATGTTTAGTCAAGCAAGATAGACCATGATACATTAAGTGTAAATGATTCTGGTGGGTCTATTAAGAAAAAGACTGCTTTTCAGTCCTTATTAATACTCTACGAACATTCTAGTCTAAAGTACTAGAATTGTAAGAGACTTATTTACCTTTTCATTTGGAAAGAATGAAATTTAAAAGTGAAATTTTGAAGCTTTCAGAGGTAATTATTTTGTATTATAGATGACCCCTTGATTACTTAAAATCATTTAAATATTTTTATAGCAAGGTGAAACTGTAGCTCTATAAAATATTGTCGTAATTTTAGTAATCATAAGCCCATTTTTAAAAGTAGAAAGAGGAATGTTGAACATATAAGTTTTGTTCCTTGCTGATCAGCATTCTCTGTGTGCTTATTGCAGGCTTTGCTCTTCCTGTTAAGTGGTGTAGTGGTGATGATCGGAAGCATGGCCTTGATTATTCTGGATTGGGTACACAATGCCAAGGAAGGTGGCCATTAACTGCCACCACTAAAACTTCAATAATCCATTTGATGCCAGTGTTGAGTCAACTCTCAGCTACTATGAAATTTCACCTAATGTTTTCAGTTTCACTTCCTTTTGAAGTGCAGATTCCTCACTGGTTCTTCTGAGTGCAGAATAAGGGAACTCTTTTTGGTTTTTTTTGTTTTTTTTTTTTTAAAGGAACTATTCTGTATGATAGAAATGGACATTAACAACAAAACCACGAGTCTCGGGTTAATGGAAGTGACAATTTTATTCCATTCCAGAGAATGGACGAACTCTTTTATCAAGCCACATGTTTGGCTGTGTCATTGTTTAACTTGGATATTTTATGGTTTTACTTGAATGTGCCTAATGGAACCATTTGATGTGAGAAACAATTCTTAATTTACAGCAAAGTATTGAAATAACCATTGAGAAAAACACTATTATTTTTTGTACCAAAAATACTGAAAGACCTCAGAAGTACTATTTTACTTTTAAAAGATGCTTTTTTTGAACATTGTCCAAAAATGGTTGTCAATAAATTCCATAAAAAAATTTTCATTGGTGTTTAAAAACAAATATGAGTATTATGAAATGAATTGCCTTTTTGTAGGCATAATAAGCCAAATACTTTTTTTATCCAAAATGATTTTTAGACAAAATGATGTAATGACTAATTGTACTATGAGTAGGAGCATAGTTTTTTTTCCATTCAAACTTCACCCTTCAAGGATAATTGACGGCTTATTGTTATACCAAATCAGATGAACTCTGTTCATCGTTTTTCTTCTGTGTTCCCAAATAATTTAGTTCATTCAGACAAATATTTATGGCTTCAGTCTATTAGAGCAGAAGATTATACAGATATTTCTGTGGAAAGTAAAGTAACTAATTTTGAGGTACCAAATAGTGCAATTGGGTAAAACAGGGTTTATTCAGTTGCATCTGTTTCCAGAGCTGGATTGACAGCTCTGGTGTTTTTGGGCCAGCCCTTTTTTGACATTGCTTCCAGCAGTGGAAAATGGGCATTTGGTGGCTATGTAAGCCAAAACTATTCTATCTAGAGTACGACTTTTCAAAATGCTCATCTGCTACTGGAGGTGTGAATTACTTGATACTATATGGCTTAGTCGTGTTCATGTTTTGTCTACAGTAGAGGTCTGATCCACAGGTTACACCGGTATTTGGGATAATACTAAGTTCTCTTCATATAGGCCACTGGGTTTCTCATGCAGTAAGGTTTTTTTAAAAACTTACTTGCACTGAATTGTCATCTCATTCTTGTACAACATAGAATTATTTGTTTACATCCAACAAATGGTTAGCTAGGGAAAACAGTGCAACCTGAGTGTAAGTAGTTGGTCCAACTGCATGTTCACCCTTCCATGTAAATTGCAGTTAGAACTGAAAAAATTACTTGGCTTTTAAGAGCACATTTATTGTACGTTATGGTGTATGGTGAATATATTATTAAATAATGTGGTACTTTGTTCATTAGGCATAATGTCCAAAATCTAATACATAATTCCATTAGTGGTTGAGGGAAGCAAATAATGAAATCATCAGTTGGTCATCTGGCTGTTAAAGGTTTTCTCTTGAACTAAACATTTTTAGTTCTAGGCAAGGGCCAGAAATGTGGCGGACATGGTTTTTGTTACGCATTCTTGTATTATATGTGACTAGTTTATAGACCAGGTATGTCTTTCTGTACTTAAAGACCCTTGTGGAACTGGAAGACGTCTTGTAGTGCTACATTGGTGAAACCAATGGTCTATTTTTGTTTGTTTCTACAAAAATAAAGTAATTGGGGACCATCTAGAAAGGCAGTGAGAAGGTGGATTCTACAGCACTGCTTTCATTTAATTGGGCTTTTGGTACTCCCTTCGAATCCAGAACCTCACCTCTAGTTCAGACCAAGAATTGGCACTTCTGCTTGAGTTCCTGGAAGAATTGCTGATTTTGTATCTAAGGTCTATCAGAGAATACCAAGTAAAGAGCCATTTTCTACAGTTTACATCCTTCCACGTGGGAGGAAATACCCTGTCAACCAGGAAAGAATGGAAAAAAGTCCTTACAGCAAATTGATGTGGGGGGCTCATCTAATTTTCATTGGCTGTTTGAGGTTCAAAATCAGCTGCCTAGGGTAAATTCCATTGCATGATTTTCTTGGAGCTAGCTTGTCTGTCTTGAGGTTCCTGAACAGTGAATTCCCATTAATAAGCAGTCTTCAGTATTAAAACCACTGTCTTGTCACCTCATTTTGCATTACTGTCTTCCGTGGATGTTTCAGTTATAACTGTAATGTTATTTATAGAACAGCATTAATCCATTAAAGCTAACCTATTTTTCAATATTTATGATAATCTATGTATATACATTGTCTGTCCATATGTATTTGTAAATAGGTTGTATATAATTCCATAGGTCAGGTTTGGGTCTTGGGTTCAAGTGTATATATTCCTGTAACTTTCTTAACTGCATTTTGATGAATTCACATTATGTATATCTAAGAATTGTCCCAAAATTACCTGTACAGAGATGTCAATATAAACAAATTGATAAATTGTGTAAACACTAAAAATTTTAAATATTGTTTAAATTGTATTTGCAATAAACAGACTGGTTGACCATTACATTTTTTTTTTCCATGAAAACTTGGTGCAAGTTCAGCTCTCTTATTTAAATTTTAAAAAGGTCTAAATTTTCAAAATGCAGTAATCAAAATGTGATCTAGTGTAATTAGGTACGTGCCCTTGGCAGGAATCGAACCCGGGACCCTTCAGTTCACGGGCCGATGCTCTAACCACTGAGCCATACCGGCTAGGGCTATTGTTCTGAAATCAAATGTGATCTAGTGTAAGGAAAGACCTTTGAGAACCTAGGTGTGTTACTCTTATGTATATAATGTAAAAATCCCCCCTGTACTGTTAGAGGCCAACAATTCCAGTATGACTTGTTGGCAGAGAGTGCTACACCGTTTCAATGAAACAATGTATGTTTTAACTGAACTAAAATAAATACATGCTTAATCCTGAGTAGCAGTGTTTTCTTTGGGGTAATGGGATCAGCAGTGTCTGATGTATTTTGCCAGGACAGTACCTAGCATTTAGGTCCATGTGTTAGTGATTATATAATGATGAAGAAAAAACAGAAAAGTTCTGCTTTTAAATTCCTAAAGATTAGAAATTTACAAAGTGTGAAGAGAAATGAAAAACACTAAAAGTAATCACAAGGACCCAGGCTTAGATCTGCTGTAAGTAGGCCAATAGTGCATCAGAATCACCTGGGAAGTTTTTTTAAAATGCAGCTTTCTGAAGCGTGTCTGGAGGGCCACCCAGAATTTTTCCCTCAGAAAGCTACCCAGGTGGTAACTAATGCACAGTTAAAATTAAGGGGTGCTGAAACTGGCCTGGGAGGTCAAATTAGTTCCACTTTGGTGAATTAGCAAAGGAGAGGAAGTGCTGGAGAGGAATGGACAAGCTGATGGGTGTGTAGGTGCACCTGAGTGACACTAGATGTGAAGATTACAGAGATACAGGGTAACTCAGGTGTGGCCTACTGATGGCCTTAAAAGCTTAGGGCTCCTAAAGAGAGTTATCCAAAGGTGAAAGGAAAAGTCGTTAGCACAGAACAGCAGGTGTACCTGGGAGTGGTTCCAAAGGCAAGGGGGTTCTGAAACAAATACCCATTATCAACATTGGTCAAGTGGAAAGAAATTATTTGTGAGTAGAAAGTGCAGCAGGATTTGAGCAACAAAGTTGCTCATCTGAGAAGCTTTGAACACCTTCCGTGTACAACTAAGATGCCCATGGGAGGGAAAGAGGGTAGGGTTATGTGTCAGACTTGGTGATTTTTTTTCTTAAATATGTTTTTATTGATTTTAGAGTGGCAGGGAGGGAGAAGGAGAGAGAAGATAGAAACATCCATGAGAGGTCATCTGCCTCCTGCACGCCCCTTAGTGGGGATTGAGCCCACAACCCAGCCATGTGCCCTGACTGGGAATGGAACTGGCAACCTCCTCAACCAACTGAGCCACACTGGCTGGGCCAGACTTGGGTTTTAACAAAATCTGTACACTTTCAATAAAACCATTTTTTAAAAACGATACCAAAATGAACCAGAAAGCCAATTTATTAATCTAAAATTAGAAATAGATTTAATGGGTAGGTCCACTCGGGAGACGAAGACAGTTTTATAAACAGGCAGCCAGCTATTCCCAAGAGATTTTCAGTAAGCCTGAGGAATAATCTAGAAACATTTCTACTAAACCAGAACTGTTTGCCTTGACTTGGAAATAATCTTACCTGGAGAACTGGCTTACTTAAGTTTCTGGTAACAAAGTAAAGAAAATCCTTTTAAACTAGCTTAAGCAAAAATGGTAACAGAGGGAGAGAACTTCTTTGAAGGAGAGTGGAGTACCTCCGGGAAAAGTTAAACGGGCCTCCAAAGGGTCAAACACAATTTGTCCTAGAGACCTCAATGGTGGAAGTGTGTGAGATTTCACTCCAGCGCTCTGCGGTTAGATTCTGAGCAGTTTCTCCAGCCAACTCAGGATAAACATTGGTAAGTAATGGATGCTGATCTTTAACATAGCCAGATGGACATGGCTGCCAGGACCCACTCCAGTGGTTAGGAGAATAGTTCTCAGAGAAGTGAAATAGTCATGGGCTGCAAATTGGGTGGTCAGCCCTGGCCAGTGTGGCTCAGTGGTTAGAGCATTGGCCCATGCACCGCAGGGTCACAGGTTTGATTCCCAGTCAAGGACACGTACCTGGGTTGCGGGTTCAATCTCCAGCCCCGGTGGGGCACGTGCGGGTGGCAGCCAATCTATGTGTCTCTCTCACATCGATGTTTCTCTCTCCCCCCCACCTCCTTCCCTTTCTTCTACTCTCTCTGAAAATCAATGCAAATATTGTTGGGTGTGGATTAACAGTAACAACAAAAAACTGTCCCAGTTTTAGCACTGGAAGTGCATCCTGGGAAACTCCTCCGTCCAACCAAACTGGGGGTGGTTGGTCATCCTAGTTAGGAAGGCATGCCAAAAAAGCAGTGTCTAATAAAATAACCTAGAGATACCGATAAACTCATTTCCTTTGGATTTTCTTTTTCTAGACATCCAGGTAGAACCCCAGTTTTCTTTTATGACTTTGCCCCAACTCAATGGATTACAGCTTCCTCAAATCACTATTTTTTCTGTGTCCCCCTGCCCCCATCAGAGTTGTAAGATTCATAAGAGTAAGCATCTGATTTTCTATTAATTTTTCCCCAACAGTCCTAATAGTCTCTAGCAAATAGTACATAAATCCTCAACATAATTTGTTGAGTGAATAAATATGCTCTTCATTTCCTATAACAGTTGACACAAGGCTCAAAATTTTAAGAGTTTACTAAATGCCTACAAAAGAAATACAGCAAATACCATGAAATTACACACTGATACAGTTCATGTCTCTTCAACCAGAGGCCTACCTACAAGAGAGACTTTCTTGTCCAGCCTATGATCCGCCTCCAGGTGGCAGAAGCCCTCTTTACCCTCTACCGTCTACTGCATGCCAGTGATTTTTTAGTTGTGAAATCCTTTTTCAAATCCTAGGCAGATTTGGTTGCCCTCCACATATTGTGAGGGAAAATACTGACACAATGAGTGTGGTTGCTTACTACTTCTGTCTTCAAGGGAACCAGGAGTGAACCTTGGCCAACTCCTGGGACTGTGGCCCTCAGAGTGCTTTTTATGTTAGTGATTGATGATTTTGTTACATACACCTGAAGCAATGGACCGTGCTAAACTGGCTTTACACAAACACCAAGATTAATGATGTGTACCTGGCTTCATTGTTGGGGTCCTTGGTTTTGGTTGCCAAGGCTTGTTGCAAAGCAGAATGTTGTCTACGTGACCAACCCCACTAAAAGCCTTTGACCTTAAAACTCATTTGGGCCTCTCTGGGCAGACATTCTACACAGGCCCCTGTAGTTCACTGCTAGGAAAAGAGCAGTCCTTCATGGCCTCGGACAAGAAAGCTCTCGGAGGCCTGTGCCTGACCTCTTTTGACTCTACTGTGGCAAGTCTCTTTCCTATTGTTTTTGCTCTGTATCCTTCGCTGGAATAAATTTTAGCAGCAAGTATTACCTGCTATTGAGTCTTGAGAATCCTTCTGGTCATGTTTCATGTAACGAAGCGAAACATACAATGTTTCTGTTTTTCTTTACACCATCAGTTAGCAAACCTTAAGAGTACCTCTTGCTTTCACCAGGAACAATCTATTCACGACTAAAGCCCTTAAAGCATTACTGTACTGAGCAAGTTTTACTAAAGATTGTCTGGGGTGTGGGGGGTTGGGAGGGTTAAATAGCAAAGAGAATTTTTTATATTGCACATCCCACTATGTTCAACTTCATGAAATCCCATTTGACACATTTCCTCACCCAAGTCCCTCTGGCTATGAACTAAAGATTCTCTCTGTCTGCCCTTCCTGCCACACCATACACAGCCTATCCCCTATCCTCATGATAAGTTCAACTCTGTCCTCAAATATGCCTATCCTTCTTAGGTAAAAAGTGTTTTCAAGTCATCAGGACTCACTTTCCCAAGATGGCATTTTACTGACCATTTATTTTCATTTCATTGTTGCTTTTTTGAAGATCTTACTTCTATTCCCACCCTTCCAAAAGGACATATCTTAGTATTCTTTCTAACCACTTACAATACTTTCCCTGAAAAGAGTTCTTGTCAGTTCTTGTTTTTCATCTGATTGTATTAAAAATACCTGATGTAGAGCCCAATCTATAAAGGAGAAAAAACAGAGCTGTGCCTCCGGCTGGCAGGGCTCAGCAGTTGAGCACTGACCTATGATCCAGGAGACTGAAGTTCAATTCCTGGTCAGGGCACATGCCCTGATTGTGGGCTTGACCCCCAGCAAGGGGCGTGCAGGAGGCAGCCGGTCAATGACTCTCTCATCATTGGTATTTCTCTCTCTCTCTCCCCCTTCCTCTCTCTGAAATCAATACAGACATATTTTATAAAACAACAACAGAGTGTGCTGGTTGAAACAGGGGAGAAATCCAGAGCTTAAAAGCTAATCCTCACAACCTCTTTCTGCACCTTCTTTCTCTCTCCACAATGGCCCATGAGATGCCGCCTTCAACTAGGGCCCTATGCAACATGGTTTGAAAAAGATGACTAAATTCTTTCAGATCAACACTGCAAGATAACAACAATCCTGCCAACCTGAAGCTCAGCTACCACGTCACCATTTTCTGAAACGAGCCTGTTTCTCCCCTTATTGACACAATGGTGGCCTAAGCCCCCTGTCTACAACGCAATCGCCGTTAGGTCAGTACAACCCAATAACCTCAAGATTGACGCTCAGTTCACATAGAGGTCAAGTCTCCTTGACTGTAAATGTATTGCTGAGGAGCTACTGAAGTCCTTCCTGGTATCTCTAAGGTGGAGTAGGTAAAGAAATTAAAGTGGAAAACAGACACTGACATAGAAAAATCAATTTCTTGCCCCCTCATCAACAAGGACGCCATTGTTGAGAATTGCTTTAGGTTTGCCCAAAGAAACTGTAGTCTTTATAAATAGGTAGGGGAGTAAATCTTTAAAAAATATCAACCTTGCCCTGGCTGGTTTGGCTCAGTGGCTGGAATGTCGGCCTGTGGACTAAAGGGTCCCGGGTCCGATTTTGGCCAAGGGCACGTACCTCAGTTGCAGGCTTGATCCCTGGCTGCAACCAATCAGTGTGTCTCTCTCACATTGGTGTTTCTCTCTCTCTCTCTCTCTTTCTCTCTCTCTCTCTTCCACTCTCTGAAAAGCAATGGAAAAATATCTTCAGGTGAGGATTAAAAATATATATATTGATCTAGTTCTGGAGTCTTTAATTTTAAAAGAACAAGTGATCATGAATCAGTCCTCTGAATCATGAACCAGTCCTCTGAATCATGTTTCTTGGGGACTTGGGGAATTATTCCTAGGTCCTAAATGTATAACTTTAAACTTCCAAAGTTACATAGATTCCTACTGAAAATTTTGCAAAAT